AGTGAGGCAGGAAATTAAAGATAGGTTTTCTGGTGCTGTTGAGGCGTTTACTAGAAGGAACGTGTCTGGAACTGGTTTGCAAGGGGACCATTTGAGACACCACAGATCTTCAGACGATGTTCCATCATCCAAGGATGTGGTAAGCGGTGCATATGATTATCTTTTATCTGCCTGAACCTGTGGATTCTGTACAGTATTTCTGCATCCTCTCAAGTTTGCATGCATTAATTTGTTCCTACGCGGAGCTTTCTTGGTATCGGAACCTGCTGATATTGTTTATATTGTCAGCAAGCTGATACTGAAAGAAGCCGTGTAACTCGGACTGGTAGCAACTCGAGTAGGGCTGTCATGGGAAGCAGCCGACCAAGCTCATCTGGTGAACCCACTGACAATCGCACTGGTCGATTGGGTTCAAGTAGTGGCCGTATTTCCACCACCCAAAGAGTGCAACCCGGATTTGAATCCAAGTCATCATCTTTTACCCGCGCTACTGCAACAAGAGGCGGTAGAGATGATGCTCTTAGGAGCTTTGAGCTGCTAACTATTGGCACTGGAAGAAGGAAATGAGAGGCTATATGGTGTCTAAAATCTGCCCCCTCAAGGTTCCAAAACTTTTTACCGCTGGCATTTAAGTATTTCCTTATTCTTGATTTTAGTCCTCGGCTAATTTGATATTATCGTTACTGGTTTTTGCTGATAGTTGAGCAGCAGATTGAGCAGCTTTCTTTAAGCACTTCCCGGCAATCGTGCACTGATTCTTGCAATTTAACAGACTTGCTAAACTTTCAGAGATAGGGGGGCTGTTTCTCTGTTTATATATTTGAGAATGCCTCTCTAGTGTGTGATGTTGTAGACCGGGATATGTCTCGAAAATAAAAATATTTCACATCTCTGTAAATTGCTTAATGCAGAGATGAGCATAGCTCCCTTTTTTTCCTGATGCATGGCTCTGCTATGTTTGCAAATGGGGAGGAAGTTTAGTGGAAAGTAAATAGTTCATGGTTATGCAGTGTAGTTCCGATTACTTTAAGGGCTACCTCGGTACATTTTCTTAGTTGTGTGGTTCTTGTGCCAAGAAAGATATTCATTTACTTTATGAATGTACCTTAAATTTCTTCTATCCAATCTTACATGATTGTTACTATGAAACAGCCTCTTGCAGAAATGCAGGCCGTGTATAATACTCTTTGTGGTCCGGCCCTTCTTCGGATCCCGTGCATAGCGGGAGCTTAGTGCACCAGCCTACCCCTTTTATGAACTTGAGCTGTCACTAGTGAATCTGATTTGATTGGCTATGGATTAATTACACTTGCAATAATGCTCTAGTTCTACTGATATGGGACCAATTATTTATTATTTTTCTAGATTTATCTGTCCAAGTATATGGTCATTGTTAAGATGAATTTGAGTTTTTAATTTTGAATCTCTATTTTCTTGGACGAGACTAACAAGGCATTTCATGATAAGAGGGGTTGGTTAGATTGTTAACCTCTCCCACCTGGGGTTGTGGGTTCGAGTCAGCAAAGGAGTAATAGCGGGGAATTTAAAAAAAAAAAAGATCTGTGGAATTTGACGTGGGTGTGGAGAATTCACCCCTGTTCTTGTGTAAATAGTCATTGTCTCGACTTCTAAGGCGCATAAGAAACGGGCTAACATTTTTTCGATTGAAATGTGGATCAGTCACGGGCCAATTGGCTTCCCGAATAATTTAAAAAATATAAAAAATTAAGTAAAAACGGTGTGTAGATTGAAGATACACTAATTTTACAAATTACTCATTTTCATATTAAATTGAATTGATTTTATTTTCTATAGGATCTTACCTTATTTTCTTCCCTTTCAATGTTTTCATAAAAAAATATAGTCTAAATTTTTCATAAATGAGATTCCTAAAGCACCATTACTCGCAAAGGTGAAAAATATAAAGGTAGATTTCTCTTTAATTTTTGTCTAAAGAGGAAAAATAGTCTTTTATAGTATGTGCATCAAACATTAATTTTTCCATGAGCCAACTTTGATAAAGTTGTTCACCACTACCTTGTGTTCTTGTAATATTGGCTTTGTAAGGACATGGTATAATTAAAGTAATAAATTATAACTAATTGCTGAGACCAATTAATGTTATTTCCAGTTTACACAATCACAAGTGATTATAATAATATCACTTACAAGTAAGTAAATTGAAGTTTGTCCAAAATATCACAAAGCAATCTGATTCGTTTGACATAAAGATAATCATAAAATTTAGTAGATCCATTCTGTGATTACATCAATTTACTGAGTCTGATTCAAAAGAAATCAGATTGCTGCAATTTATTAAACAAAAAAAAGTTAGTGTTTTATTCTAGTTGGACAAAATCACACCTCGGATTTGAAATAAAATCATAACGGGAATTTACTTTGAAATTCAAATTCATAAATCTGTTGTATTAAATATAGAGCTAAACGACGAGTCTGTTGTAATCTAAGAATGTGAATACTTAACTTAGAGATAAAACCGAGCTTTCTTCGAAATCTATTACAGCAGGTTAGTTAAATATAAACAAAAATAAGGACAAAGATAAATCCCAAAATAAGAAAAACATTAGTTTTAAAATTTTGTTTTGTAAAGCTGTCACACATTGTTACAATATTGAACTTACCATTAGAAATCTGGAACAAAAATAAATAAAGGGCAAGATTACACCCTGAGTAGGCTATAAATTCCCTTCATATTTCACAAAAAATATTGTGCAAAGTTATTATTTTCTCTACCATTGTTTCTTTGGAGAGATCTTTCTTTAGAAAACTGTCATTCATTTTTCAACATGCAAAACACAAATCCTTCTCCTCCTCCAATTTTAATACCTTGTCGTGTGCTACTTCGCTGCCCTTTATGTTATGGCATTTTTCGTACTCATTTTGACTTTATGAATCATTTACAATCTCACCCGTTATCTTCTGAGCAAGATGTCATTCTACGTTCTGGTGTAGATGCGGCCGCTCTTCCTTTACCAGGCCATTTGCAACCAACACAGCCCACGCCATCACAACATGCAAGTTCGAGAAGAAATGACAGAGGTACTGTGCTGCCATCATCATCATCGTCGAATCGTTCTCACCCTACTGAAGGGCATCAAATGGCAAGAAGAAATAGAGGTAGAGCTCCAAGTACAACATTTCTTGATTTAAATGTGACTCATGATGGTACAAGACCATTGATAAATCAGTTGGATGTTCCCATTTCATCAAATGCAGTTGCATTAGATGAAGAACCAAATGGTTTGAACTTAAGCTTGAGGCTTTAGAGCAAAAAGTACAAGGATCTTCTTTGTTGAGTCTTTTGTTTTATTTTAGTCGGTCTGATATTGGTATGTCTAAAAGTATTGGAGTCTTCTGTTATGTTTTGTTTTGTTTTTTTTAATTGTTTTTTTTGGTTGATAGGGCGTGTCAAAAAATGTGTACGGTTGGAGTCTTTTATATTATTTTACTAAATATTTGTTTGATTTAAATAATCCTATCCCATTTGTTTTCATTCAAATTTCAATTTTTCTTGTCGAAAAAAAAAAAAATTAATTTTCCTATTGTTCAAAATTGCAATTGATTCCACGAATTATTACTGAATTTTGCCTACTAACTTATATCTGCAAAATTATTTTTTATGTTAAGATAATTGAACTATTAATTTAGTAAGAAAATATAAATGGCTAGAAGGTTTGATTTTAAATTTAGGTATGATATATCACTCATCATATTGATTTTTTTCACCCCGTAAATTCAAATAAAAAAATAAACCTCCAACCTTCATGGACTTTCAAAATTATCCTTGCCCTGAAGCCAAATACGGACATGTACCTAGGGCCAGAGTTAGAAGCCCCTCTATGTATTCGGTCGAACCTAATATTTTTTTGCTCAAACAGTATATTTGTGTTAAAAAATTTATCAAATATATGTATAAATATTAAACTTAGGACCCAATTATTAACACTTGAAAATTAAAATTGCCGTTTTAACTAAAACTCATAAAGTTAAATTTCTGGATCCCTCCATGTACCACTTGAACAACTCAAACTGATATGTTAAAAGAGGCAAAGAAAATAATTTTCGAAGCTATAATGTGAAAACAAAAAATAAAAATTAAATAGTTATTCACGAGTATCGACAGAGATTTCAAGTATAGCTTGATTGAATTGAATTATAGTAAGCATGGCATAACACAGAGGGAGCTAGTCCTGTCTTTACTCCTTAAATCTTAGAATCGTATTATGTACATCTGTCCGAGCTAATCCAGTATTTGACTTAGATTTTAAATATTGCTAAAATATAATTTCTAGATTTTATTTTACGAAGACCGTTAAAGACTGGATGGTAACACGAGATACTGATAACTTGAAGTTGCCCCTAATACAAAATATATAATCACTATTTTTTTACGAACCATTAAAAATTGGATGGCAACATGAGACGTTGAACTCAAGTTAGTCTTAATGCAAATTATATAATCTCTAGATTTTGTTTTATGAAGACCATTAAAATTTGGATGATGACATGGCATACTGAACCGAAGTTGGTCCTAATACAAAAGAAATTATGTCAAATACATATTTTATTCCATTTTATCTGAGGTCTTTGATTGAACATGAAGTTTTTAAAAAAGAATTTTAAAACTGAAAATTCGACTTAAATTCAGGGGGGTACTTATGCTTTTTTTCTTACTAGTTTCTGGACACGCACGTTGCACGTGGAGCTATTATTGCCTCAATTTATGGGGTATAATTTGGATTTCGAGAGTCGATCTTCATAAATTTGACTGTGAATTCGAACATAAATCTTTAAATTCTTTAATTTTTTTTAAATATTTGAAAATTACGTAATAAGTATTATAAGTAACAATAATAAATAATTTAAAATATTGAAAAGGTATTTAAAAAATTACAATCAACGATTTTTTTTCTTTCCGATTTTCGAAATCCGATAACAACCATATAAGTTAAGATGGAGGGAGTACATCACATAAAAAATATTTTAAAAAATTATGTTTGAGTTATTAAATAAAAATCAACTTAAAAATAACGAATATACACCTTATTTAGCTGATTCGATAAAGGAAGAAGTCATAGTAAAATTTTATGTCAAAGTAATGAATTTAAAAGTACATACAATGTTCATCTTTCGATCCTTATGTAGGGATTTTACTAATTAGTACATATCGAAATATATTTCATATCGATACATGAGGCAAGACTCTTTCCTACCATTCTTGATAGCTACAATATATAAAGTTGATTTACCTCCTATCAGGGATGAAGATGATAAAAGATATCCATTATTAAAAATTTTAAGAGTTTTTTTTTTATTATCTAAAAGTGTGCTAAGGTTGGAGTCTTATGTTTTATTTTAAGGTTGGAGTTTTCTGTTTTGTCTTGTTTTATTTTATTTTATTTTTGGGCTAATAGGTGAGTCTAAAAATGCATGTGTAAGGTTGGAGTTTTTTATTTTATTATTAAAAATAATAAAATAAAATATTTGTTAAATATTTGTTTGATTTAAATAATCCAATCCCATTTATTTTCATTCAATTCTCAATTTCCTTGTCGAAAATAAAAAAAATTATTTTTCTATTATTCAAATTGCAATTGATTCCACGAATTGTCACTGAATTTTCCCTAATATAATATTATATCTGCAAAATTATTTTTTATTTTAAAATAATTGAACTATGTGTAATTTAGTAAGAAAATAAAAATGGAAGGTCTAATTTCAGATTTAGGTATGATATGTCACTCGTCATATCGATATTTTTTCACCCTTATAAATTTCAAGTCAGAAAATGAACCTCAAACCTTCATGGACTTTCAAAATTATCATTGTCCTGAAGCCAAACACAAACATGTATCTAGGGGCAGAGCTAGAAGTCCGTTTATGTGTTTGGTCGAATCCAGTAGCTTTTTGTTCAAATAGTGTATTTGTGATTAAAAAATTATCAAATGTATAGAATATTAAATTTAGAACCCGATTATTAACACTTGAAGTTGTCGTATTAAAATCTAAAACACATAAAATTAAAATTTTGGCTCTATCCCTGTATGTACCACTTGAACAACTCAAACCGATACGTTAATAGAGGCAAAGAAAATAATTTTTTAAGCTATAACGCGAAAACAA